TTTCTCTGAAACACAAAAATCACATTTAAATTTATCCTGGCTCAAAGCATTAAAATGTGGGGTAAAGATCTTTCTTTATAGTAGCAGAATCTAATTTAGAAAAGTGCATTATTGATTCTATCCATTTGTCAGAATTTGCAGTGGCATTGAGCTCAACATTGCCAGTAACTAGAAACATAATGTGTATATGAAAAAAGCCAGGTGCATTGAAATTATCACTAATTTTGTTAGAACTCAATAGACATTTAGTTTGCTTGTTTCTATTTTGAGACTCAAATGTTAGCTTTGTCTTCACCTTGATGAAAATTCACTGAAGAAACAAAACAAAATAATGATTTATTCAGTGGAGTCTGGGCAAATTGCAAAGGTTAAGGACTTTTTTTCTTAGCTAAAGTTACAACCATGATTTCTTAGAATACAGTCTCTTGGGGAAAGGAATAAGTTTTTATTCTATCTATCTGTGCAGGAAATAGCAAAATGCTCTATGGCCAAGATTGGTTCAGGTTTATGACTAAGATCCTAGATAACGTTTTAAAATCTTTTGGTGTCAATTTTTTGAAAAGACTTTGGGGAGTGAGGGAGAAGAATTTAGTCTCCTCCTTTAACTAATATTTTACTGGAAACAAGCTCAGTAGCTACTGAAGGCGCTCTCTCTCTCTACAAACTGTTAGAACCTCAGTTCCTGAAGTGCAAAAGGTCTTTCACAACCTCACGAAACTTGGGAGGAAACTATTGCAAAATTTGGACACTGAATTTTGTCATGCTACTTTCATAAAGTCAAGTTCCATTTCCCTGAAGACATCTTCAAAAGCAGGACCAGAAAGCCTCACAGACTGTGATACAAGAAGAATGATTCTGATCCACTTTAAAGACACAATCACAACTCTAAAAAGCCCATTACCATTGCTACCTAAGTTTTCTAAGGTAGTGAGATATGCTCTTGTATTTCAAAATCTAATCATGGTTCAGTATAAAACTTGTTTACACCTCAGTTTAGAGATGACAAGTATCATGCTATCTTGTAACCATAGTAGTCCTCTGTCTCTAAGGCTCTCATTGAATGAGCTCTTCCTTAAGCGTCTGATCCTGCATCACTGAGGTCAAAAAGAACATGTGTGATTATCATTTCTCTCTCTCTTTTCTGAATGAAGGCTGAAATCAGCCTGACTTAATTTCCCCCCAAGCAACCATCAGCCAGCCACATGGCAGCTAAACTCTTTAGAGGCCCATGATCAAACCACAGTTTCATATTTCATTACCAATATCCTGGAGATTCTGGTTTCATAACAACATAAAACTTAAGGTGTACTAATTCTCCACACCGAAAGTTCCAGTACAAGCACTTAAGATGCTATAGCAATGAATGAGGTACAGACATAACACATCCAAGAGATATAAAACTGCTTACAGCAACGGACGGGTAAGAGTAACTGAAACACCCGAAACAATGATGCATTTTATCACAAAGATTAAAATTCAGTATCTTAGCATATGCTAAAATAGCAGATGACTGAACAAAATTAGGATACTTTAAGATATACCCAGATTATATTTAGACTCAATGTGAAGTACATTCTATTTTATCCTCTCAGCTGCTCAATGAACTTATTAGTTTATTTTACTTTATATTCATATAGATAAGACAAGCAGTCATTTTTGTTCTACTGTATCCCACACAACACTATTTGGGATTTGTATATACAGTTGCTCATCTAACATGACAGCACTTCAGGAAGTCAGGCAAATATCCCTATTTCAAGATAAAACTTCTTTGTACTGTACTAGTGGCTAAGAATTAAATGACTAATTCACAGTAACTGCTAAGAGCAGGTCTTTTAATTAAATCATCTCAGAAATATCTCACTAGGGTATTAATAACAAATTCAACCAGTCTAGAGATCGCTTCTAAGAAAAAAATACAGAATATGGGAACTATCGTAACTATCTGCCCATCCAGCCCACCAGCCTAACTCTACCCGGGACCACTGGCAGGTAGAGAGAGCAGTAGGAGGGGGAAGAGAGAGAGAGAGAGAAGGAGATATCACAGTGATCCTTCTCCTAGTATATACTCCAGGATTAGTGTTACAGATAGTTTATGGACTGCCTGAGTAAGAACTTACATCTAGGTCATACACCTTAATAATGATGTGTGGAATTCTGCTCTAAAAAAGTACTTAAGCCATTTCTGAAGACATTAACGCTGTCTCTTCCAGCAAATTTTGAGGCAGTAAGTTCCACAATATATTTATGCGTTATGTCACCTGTCTGTCGGATACTTTCATTCAGTACCTCCTGCCCTTGTGGGAAGTAGTGCATAGCTGTTCTCTATTCATCTGTTTGCATCAGTCATCCTATCCCATGATCTGGTAGGTAGCAAAAAGAAGGCTTACAGCAAGCTTTCCAATTCCCAACTTTTAGCTCCATTGAGTAATTTAGCATCATACTTGAGTACACAGCCTAGGGAATTTATTGGGTTTGCTTACGCTAGGAACTTTTCTCAGGCTACTGATTTAGATGCTACGTAGTTATCTAAAATTAGATTAAGACATAAGTTTGAATATCTTGGTTGCAACATCTAAATTGGACCCAATCTGAGGTAGCTAAAATAGATGGCATTTTTGAAAAGTATTAATAATTTTTCTTGCCTAATCTATTCATTTGTATAAGAAAAATGTATGTAGACATTTGTGTTACGTAAAATTTCTATGAAATATTTATAAGCTCAATGCTTAGCATATAATACAATATTACATGCAAATCAAAATGAAATGAAGAGAATATTTCAGGGGGAATCTTTATACCGCCTATTTTAAAGCTCTATGAATATCCCTCTGGACGTACTTTTTTTCCCCTCAATTAAACAGATATGTAACTTATATAGGTTCTTTCATAGACATTTCAATGCTTTTCATATAATATTGCTGAAAAATAATGGTTTCTGGAATGCTTCCAGTATTAAAACTGTATATAAACCTTGAATCACACGTCTTTCATATTCTACTCGTACTTCATACTGTGTAACATAATGGGATAAGACATGAATTTTTTTTGGAACTATGGTATGTATATGATTTATTACATGTCATTCATTTTATTATTAGAGGTGAGCTAGGAAGGTCAACTTTGTGAGCTGTAGAGGAGAGGAATTAAAGGAATACCCCTGGCAGTCAAGGACACAGACTTGGAACATGCATATACCTGACAGGAAAACACCTTGGGGCTGGATTCTAGTTAGGGCTGGGTTATGTGGCTCTGGGAGGTAAGAGGCTGAATAGCTCTCAACTGATGAAAGAACCAGTTTTGTAAATTCTAGGAACAACTTATATCATAGGTTTCAATTCTGTAACTACTTAAACAGTACTGAGGGATACACTAACTATATTCTTACACTATGTAATATTATTAAGGAAGGTGACTAGCAAAACAGCCCTACCAAAATATTTAGCTATTAAAAATCTTTAATAATTTAATATAGATGTGCTGTGTTGATGGCAATGGCATTTATGATAGAATTAATGATGTCTTAAGTTTTCCTTGCATTTTATTTATAAAATTAAAAAAAAATTTTTTTTTTGGAATTAAATCTGAAAGCTGGCTACGTCATTTTTAATCTACTACCTATTACAGGGCCAGCTCATCATTAGAAAGAAAGTATAAATATTTATTAGGATTTTGCTAGAGAATTCATGCTTAGTGCAAAGAACCCCTAAATCAATTTATCACTTTCTTCAGAAATCCAAATTTCTAAGCTGTATTGTAGGCATCTGGTAAATCACAGGCATGACTGAAGGCTGAAAGTTTTTCCAGTGATCTTCTGTTTAATTAAGTCCTTATGGGATGAAAACCTCTTATGTTTCCATTTGTGAAAAATAGTCAAATACGTCTGAAGGAATAGATTCTTTAAAGTGAAATGTGCTTCTTGTTCAATATACAATTTTGCCCCAGAATCAAACATGTACTAAATACGGTACTAAAAGAACAAGGAGTTCTGTGAACTTTTACTTGAAATCTATTTAGTGTCCTTCACTTTACGTTGACTTAAAAAAAAAACAAAAAAAAAACCCACGACTGAATTTCTAAAGTACTGTCTATGCTTGTATTTTTCCAAATGCTAGATATCTTACTAAAACAAGGAAGAATTTCTAAACCACTAAAATGAAATGCAAGACCATGAATTACAAGGGTTTTATGGCATTGGTCTTAAAAAGCAGCTTATTAATACTTCATACAACTAACACAGTGAACAAATAGTTGTTTCTGCATGATAGCAATTAAAAGATCTCGACAATATTTGCTTACATGAAAAAATAGACAAGAGACCAAAGACAGCACAATTCAATAAAAAGCTTCAAAAATAAATGCTAAAAATATATATTATCCTGTTAAAATGATATTCAATTGTTGATCTGATAAAAATACAAAACAGAAATACTGTGTTAATTTTTGCTCTTTCTCATTGTTCTATGCCAACTGCTTCTCTCTTTCATAACCTCATGGATTGTGTCACCATTACCAATCACGTAGTGACTCCATAAAAAATGAAAGCTCCCTATCATTCAGGAAAAAAATCAATATTTCAGTGCTCTTGCAGCTGACAAAAAGCCAGTGAAAACCTTTATTTGTGACAGCAGTGTTCTGCATGCCACCAGCAAATTCCTTACCAACATAACTGAGATAAGAACTTACAATTTCTAACCAGCTATTCACACACACATCCTACTGGCTCCAAAAGGATTTGTACATACAGAGTGGAAAGTGCGTTAAACTCAATTTAATTTCCTGCACATTTCCTTTAACTTCTGATTCCATCTCTGCAAGAGAGACATCTACCTAAATATTTTCTCGTTTCTGTGGCTGGTTTTGCCCTAGAACAGTAAGGGGAAGGGGAGAACCTTAGCATGCCATTTTGCCTTGTGGTACCAAACTCACTTTGACAAAACCTTGAGAGACAAGCTACAGAGCTTAGCAAGATATAGTTCGTAAGCAGTCAGAAGTGATACCTTTAGCTCAGGCATGTTTATTATAAGCTGCATAGGTAGTTTAACATCTGGGTCCTTTGTATAGTCCATGGGCACAACATTTGGTGCCATTTCATGGTATCTGCCATGCAACCTGTAAACAAGCAGAGAAAAACAGCCTCTTTAGATAATCAATGTCATTCATACAATAATCAGACATAAACTCATCTTGCAGCTCTAATCATTTTTTTAGTGCACAAGTTGAAGCCCAGCAAATTCCCATCTTTTTGAGGAAAGAGGGCTTTGATGCAGTTTCCAGCATAACTGCTACGAACATGCATAACTGCAGGTGTGCAACATGAGTATGTTACATGAATACGTTCAAAGTAGCTGTACACAATATTTAAATATCATATGGGTACATGTATGCAAGAGGTAGGATCGGCATGATATGCTAACACTGTGCATATAATCCAGGGATCAAACCCCAATGCAAATTGTTGATTGATCTTTACCACACAAGAATGAAGTTGTTTAACAGGTCAAAGATAAGAACAGATAAAGAATTTAAAAGTCAAACTATATGCAATTGTGATACTAAGGACAAAGCATCCTTGGGAGACCTCAGTGCTGAACAAAAACAAAAAAACAACAAAAAACAAACAACCAAACCTTTTTCCCATCTGTGCCTCACTAACCTTGCAGATTTAGACTAACAATTCTAGCACGAGCTGCCACCAGCACACAGACCACTTCCACTTCAGTTCCATTTCATATAGCTTTTTCCCCCCCCCTTCATTCTTGACTCCACTTACTCCTCAAGCCAGTATGTTTTAAAAGCAATAAACAAATGTTTTTCCATAGAGATGCAAATCAGACATCCATAAACTTGGTTTCACTCTCTAAATCCTGCTTATTATGCTAACAATATTATATCATAGCTTGGATAGGGGAGCTGGGAAAGGAGGAGACAGAGACAATGAAACATACACACGTTTACAGAGGTTTAGAAGCTGAACACTAGCAAATTATAAAAACTGGCTCAGTCTCCTGCATGACCTGGGCTATGCTATTCCCAATTGTTAAGTGAATTAACAAGTATTAACCTTCCTACCCTTTATTTGTTGCCTCCAAATACTCTCATTTATGTCTGGGCAAAAGCATAGTCCAAAAGCCAAGAGAAAAACAAGCATACTTTAAAAAAAAAAAAAAACAAAACACCCACACACAACAACAACAACACACAAGTAGGAAGCAAATTCAAAAACTATCTCAGCACGTTTATTCTCACCAGGATGCTCATTCAAATTAGGAACAGAGACATTTCAAGTGAAATGGGTGTCCAGGTCAAATTCACCAACGAACCTCAATTTTGAGCAGCCACGCTCCAAGTGGCCTGCTCTCAAGCAATCTGCAGACAGAAATTGCCTGGTGTAAAGCATTACCTGCCTAGATGCAATTTGTACAGTGAGATTAATTTTACTGATTTGCTGATTTTACTGATTCTATTGATATTTCCTCTCCAGTGGCCAAGCACCTAGTATCAAAGAGCCACTCAACAGAACACACCAAAAGATTGGAGAAGGAAGACTTGCATCCTAGTACTCAGTAAAGGTTATTCAGAGAGAATCTTGTTTTCAGAGGAATGCTATATGCCAATGTTAGTAATATTTCACTAGCAACAAGAATCCTAGTACGCTAAACATTACCTTCAGTACCCATCCCAAAGATCACACAGCCTGTAAACAGGCAGATACAAAAATACGTTAGTAATTTTTTACATATATAGTGGAAAAAGTTAGGTTTACTTGATGCTAGTCTTGCCCAATGACGTCCTTGAAACAGCAAAGAAAAAGATTTAGTCAGTGTGTCTACTTTTATCTAGCATACTATCCAGGGAACATAGAGATTTTCGAAACAAAGTATTAAAAGACAATGTCTAATAAATTCTCTTATAGCCACCAACCTCCCAACAAAAAGGACACCATCTCTTCACTCAGATCCTTGACAAAAAGCTAGATGCAACAGTGGGCATTGCTCTGACAGGGCAGCTCAAACATTCTTAGAAAGGTGGGTGCTGCTCCTGCACAACAGCTTTACTCCTTTCCTAAGTGCCAACATATTATACCAGACAAGAAGTTTTAAATAACTTTCTAAAGTCAACTCTGGCAGGCATGAGGTACCCATAACCCTCCATTTTTACCTCTGCTTCCATATGCCACATTTCTTCTCTCCCCCTTCCTTACACCCATTGCAACCCAAGCAATATTCCAAAGGATGCATGTAATGTGTACTGTGTTCTTTCCTGAGACGTTTTTTCCAATGAATTTTTAGGATACTATTTTGCTTTCAAGTGATGACAAATCTGCATATGCAAATATCCATACCAAAACACTTGAGGCTTCCACCTACAACTGGTGTCCAAGGCTCCTCTTGTAATTCTATTTGGAAAAAAACTACTACAAAAAATAACTCTAAACAAAATTCGAGAAGAATTTTTAGAGATGCAGTCAATTAATCTCCAAAGACAGTGAACACCAACAAGCTACCATCTTGTGCATCATGCTCAGTAATACATGCGAAAAATCAGCAAAGTCACCAAAGATCTTGACGCTAACGAATACCAGCAATTAGGGTAAGATTTCCTTACCGTTGCTCAGAAGCTGTCTTCAGCATACTTCTTATATCACTTAGTAATGGCGTTGTCAGTCACCTTAAGATTTATCCAAGGTACCGTGCCATATGGCTTTAGTTAACTATTTGAAGTTGCAATTTAGTTTCTATGAATCATACAGGCAGTAGGCCAAGAAAAAAAAAAAAACAACACTCTCTCAAGATGAAACCCTAGCTATAATAAAGAAATTCCACTGCATCCAGTAGGGCCAGGTGAAGGTCTCCAGTATGAAAGATTAAAGGATTAATGTTTCTCACAGGAGATAAAAATTTAGACAAAAGATGACCAGCAGTAAATCCATGGTTATAACTTATGCTTACAAAAAGAATGCATTGCCAGTATTTATTTCTGCTTTAACTAAGCTCTTGTTTCTTTAATTTGCTTAATAAAATAGAGGCTAGTTTTATACCGTGAGAACCAGGAACAATCTTTCTTTCATTAGTGACGATCAATGATTAGTTAAAAAGTTACTGCTAACATTGCAAATCCTTGGTACACACAACCTTAGGCAGGAAGGTTCCCCAAGATTTACTGAACAGCTCAATAGATTGAGTATAGACGTATAGCCTGCCACTCCTCCACGAAATACCATGTGCGTGAAAAGATTAGTTAGTTGCTGTTCATAGGGAAGTTAGAAAATGGCACGCACTACAAAATGTAACTATCACCATCTGTATCCACCTGCTGCCTTGCACCTAATCCATAAACTGCTTAGGGTAGAGAAAGTGTCATTTTGTCTTGTTTTATGCACTATTTAACACAGGGTTTTCTGATCTGTCATTGCGCCCCATGTACTGTTACTATATACTAATAAGTTATATTATTTATTTTGCGATCTATTTTTGTTTGAACAAAACAAACCCAGTCTGATCACAACATATACCAACGATGAAAAATAAGGACATTAACATGTTTTGAACAGCACAATGTAAACAAGCCAGTAATTAAGGAAGAAATACCTCTCCAACCCCTTCATCTTGCCAACTTTAGCTTCGGTAAACCCTCAGTCTGCTCCACAAGCAATGGAGCTATTTCAGATTAACATGGGTGAGGAAATTTCAAGAACAAAGAGGAAATATTTCATAGGCATCTCCTTCCTTAGCTCCTCTTTGGTTATGACTATGATGCATCACAAAGAACACACATAATGGAACATAAAAGAATATGTTTTGTCTGGATCTTAGGAAAATAATGTCTTTACACTGCACAGCAAAATACTGTGCCTTACAGGAAATTAAATATCCACTGACCTAAGCATATTTCAGCGGCTGACCACAGCTCACCCTGACATTTCATAAATACTGTGTAATTCAAGATGTAACAGCCATTTCCCACTTCAGCAACTCATTTATCTGTGCTAAACAATAATTGCAAGCATTCTGCTAAATACAATGGAAAAAAACAGCTTTAAAGCATTCAGAGGAAATTAAACCCTCTAAATCAAACATTCATCTGAGGAACTTTTCTTTTTTTTAAGCTAGAACACCGAAATGGTATTCTAGTCTACACGAAAACAAAGCATTCATCATTGGAATGCCTTGGTCACTGTGGGCAACATTTCAAAATACACTAGTTGGCACTGTCTGATTAGGTATGCTGCCAAGGTTTTCCTCTCTTTACTTTCTCTAGTATTAAACTTTTCTTACCTGTCTTTGCGCTGTCTCCTCTGACAGGACTATGAATACAGACATCAATGTGACTGCTCCGCATCTTAGAGGAGCTCTCTAATTGAAGAATTTCATTGAAAGATTTAGAACAAGATGAACTGTGTTCCACAGTTTATTAGCACGCGATATTAATCTAGCCTGTAAAGGGCAAAGTACGTAATTTCTCTTAATTTTCAACAAAAATCATTGAGCAAGCTAGTTTTGGGGAAAAAAAGTGAGATGAAGGCTAGGTCTCAGTTTCTACTGGAAACAAACATACGACAAAAGTCTAAAAACGTTGACGAAAGATACTTGTTACTGAAGCACAATCATTATACCTTACAAAGGAATACTGCACGTAATATTGTGATGCGAGATTTTTCATTACAGCGTGATCTGTCTCTTAACAATAAGAATAAATAATTGCCTGTTAATAGGAACAAAGAGAAATAGCCAAAACAACCTAGTTCTACTGAAATTAATCCAAATTCCCTTGTAGCTCAAAGTAGCATCTGATTTTCAATTGGAAGGGACTGTATCATCAACTGCAGACCATTTAGCAGAGCAGTTAGGTTTTGTATTAGATCTTAGAATAGCCTTTCTTGTCCCACAGAAATAATTTGTCTTTTAGTGCAAGGCCAACAAGAGCACTCTTATTTTACTGTAGACAACGCACCTACATTAACTGCAATGAATATACTGTAGGCAGCTGGTGGCACCTTGGGACGTACAATTATTGAAGACTGATGTATTTCGTTTCCTTATTGTGCTTTTCTCACTACTTTAGCTATTAAGGTTTCACAATTCTTTGGAGAAAAATGATACTGCCCTAGC